TATAGTTGAACTGGTTCCTCTTCTTTATTTTCCTCTCCTGCAGGGAGAGAGCTGCCTCCGATATGCAGCGATGTTCGTCAAAAGCATCGGCTCTCCATCGACACTCTTCCTCCAGAGGTCAAAGCTCCATTCCCCTCTGACCCCATCATCCCCCTGCGCACCAAGACTACCAAGGAGTTTCAGTAGGTGTCAGTTCGCTGGAGCTTTAAACACACTTTAAACATGCAGGAAACATCCTTAAATCAAAGGTAAAGAGGTCGGTCTCCGTGAAGTCTTTTGTGTGTTTTGGCTGCTAGGGAGGACATGGAGCGTGCCCTCCAATCAGGAGACTGGAGGGAGGTCCGGGAGTTTTACCTGACAACCTTTGACTCCTTCATAGAAATCAACGCTGCCTTCAAGGTATATCACACACAGAATCTGGTTCTCAGCGAATGGCCTGTTGTGAGAAAACACTTTTAAATGCTGGTAAAAATTTCACAGAACTGTTTTACGATGTGGTGCGATGGGAAAGCAGTTTTCACTAACTCTCTCCGTGTGTTACTCTGCCTTCGTTTCCCAGCGAGAGGCGAATGGATTGTTTAACACTATAGAGGACTCAGGAGTCAACACCAAGTTTGTCAACGCTGTTTATGACGCACTGCTCAACACGGTGAGACCACACCTTCAGACATGCTTACATACGCTCAGAAATGAGGAGAAAATACTCTGAAATTCTTCTGTTGGCTGTTTGCAATCACGATAGTTTTCCTTTAATCACATTTGAATGTAAAATATTTTACATCTGATGGGGCCTCATCAGCCAACACCTTGTGTGCAACTGCTGGAGCAAATCCCAGCAGTTGATCAACTGCTGGGATCAGCTTAAGGCTTTTCTGGGAGCTTTTAGGAACTGACTATAGGGAACGACAATACTCCAGCATAGAAGTGAACTAGTTTTTTAGCATCACTCTGAAACAGGATGTTTCTAATTTGATCAGTATTGCACATATTAAACAAGGCAGTCATGGAGATTTATGTGTATTAAGAGATATATCCTGGTCAAAACTGACTCCGGGGTTCCTCGCAGTAGTACTGGAGTCGTCCACACCTGGTGAGTGTTTTCTCAATTTAAAAGTAGAACAAGTGACCTTCCTGTTGTGGTGAAGGTTAGATGAATATGCCGTTCAGTGTTTTTATTTCTCTTTGTAGGCCTAATTTGCACACTAAGCTTGTTTCGGTTGTGTTTTTAGCCTCAGGACATCCAGAAGTCAGTGCTGAAAGGGATCATTAACAGCCTGCTGAGGGAGTGGAAAGGGTGAGACGAGCTCTGCATCTTTGTGTTATCATGTTCCACTTATGAAGTTTACTATACATGCTTTTATGAAAGGAAATTATTAACATTTTATTGGTATTTTTCACATTCTAATCACTGACGTTGGAATTCTTGTTCATTTATATTAAATTGTAGTAAAACAGCTTAAAGTAATACCTTGAATCTCGGTTTTGTACCTCTTTGCTGGTGTAGTTATTTGTTATTGTGGGACTATTTGTTGACAGTGTCTCACTGTGTTCTGGGTTTTGTCTGTTCTTTTTTCAGGCCTCGGACAAAAGATGATCTGCGAGCTTACTTCATTCTCGTTCAGGTACGATTGTGGGGAGTACCCTGAAGGCCCCTTACAGTGAACTAATCTTCATCACAAATCAGTGAAGAAATCAAATAAATGAGAACAGAGAGTACGGCTGATTAAGTCAGATACAGCATGAAAGT